AGGCATCTTGCTCACACACTCTGCGTGCGGTGCACAGTCCCGAGTCTTCGTTGATACGTGGCTTGTGTTAAGAGCCGTGCGGTCGTGCGGGCGGTTTTAGCCTCAGCCTTTTGTACGACAGTGTCGCTAATGCACATCCTCTGTGCATTTAATGCACTCCCCCTGTGCATTTGATGCACCGCTCACCTCCCGCAGCGGTTGTGTCATCCCTGCCATCCCGGGATGGAGGCAACGATCCTTGCCCAAAAAAAAAGCCTCCAATCCATGATATTGTCTAATTTGCTTCCAAAGAGGTCAACTTATGTTCACTTGCAGATTTGTTGTTTTCTCTTCTTCTGAAGAAATTTAATTACAGATCTTTTATAATCTATAGTCAAAACACGCATTTCTTGATTCGAAATTCCCTGGTTTCTATGTATGTTCTTGACCATTTCTGATAATTTTTAGTCCATTTTGGCTGCTCTAGAAAGATCTCAGAGATTATGTAAGAACTCACCTAATTGGATGTAATTGTTATGCAAACTAAAGACTACAATGCATTGCTTCTCTGAACATTCAACCCATCGATAATCATTCTGATGTTTACCTTTTCCGTTTGAAATAGAAATCGTTAAACTTTTCCCTGACCCTTATTATTATAAAATTAGATTCAAAATGCAGCCATTATGCAGTCTTTGCTTCTAACCGTTACTCGTTTGTTATTGGAGGCAGTTATTAATTCAAGAGTTATTAACCCTGCCTTATTATCACACAATAATATGAATGCCTTGTGCGCTGCGATATCAGCGAATGCCTTGTGCGCAGAGATCTCACTAATCATAGCTTCCTCAGACTCGAGGTTTTTTTTCAACTCTTATTAGCAGAGCAAGCTTCTGCAACTACCGGGTAGCCGGATAATAGTAAACTGTTAGATTGCTTATTAAATTCCCCTTTTCTCTCTGCGCTGTATCTAGTTTGCCTCTTTTAGAGTAGCCTTAATTTAGTGCCCAAGTTCAATGCCCGTAAATCTCTCCCGATGGCCACAAATGTTCAACCTCGGCACTCGATGTACGTCAAACCCTGGACATCACGTTACGCAACTTCTCTGTACGCTATAATTTTGGATAGCACGAGCCCACGATTCATGCGTACACTTGAATTTATTATCCAAGAACCTGATTTGGGAAACTTGTACCGCCAAACTGATATTTCTTGTCGAGGAAGCCTTAGATGATCAAGCCTTATCAGTACTACGTACAGATAGCTGCCGCTCATTGCGTCTACATTACAAGTAATAGCTCGTTCATATTTGTCCGATTTGTCATATCGCGTCTGCCACATTGCTACTGCTTAACTCTGTACAACACTGCTGGTCTATTTACCTCATTGACGCTCCCAGCTCTGCCACATCGATGCGTTCAGCTCTGCCACATCGATGCGTTCAGCTCTGGCACATCGATGCGTCCAGCTCTGCCACATCGATGCGTCCAGCTCTGCCACATCGATGCGTCCAGCTCTGCCACATCGATGCGTCCAGCTCTGCTGTGTCGTGACGGCATAAATCAGGTCTCGACGATGGTGCCCGTGGAGGCATGCGAATCATGCTATGGCCCTCCAGCTCTGCCACATCGATGCGTCCAGCTCTGCCACATCGATGCGTCCAGCTCTGCCACATCGATGCGTCCAGCTCGGCTGTGTCGTGACGGCATAAATCAGGTCTCGACGATGGTGCCCGTGGAGGCATGCGAATCATGCTATGGCCCCGCCGCCGCTGGCCGCATTTCGAGTAGCAATTGATGCGCACCGAAGCTTAATCGCGAGCGCGATGGATGGCCGCGAATGGTTCATTATAACTTCTCAATGGCGAGCATCTCGTGGATCCTGTTCCGAGCAATGCACTCTTGGATTATAAACCATCAAAAATGGAACACCAATTATGTTATAATGACACGCAACAGGTAAATTTTTCACTCACGCACTTGCGTTGTTATGGACTAATCAGTAAATAAATTTTCTTTGATCCCAGATATTTGACCAATGATCGCAATGAAGAATGAGTAAAAATTATAAATTAAAAACTATAATAATTAATGAACGATAAATACAAGAAACCAAAAATGGAAAACTAAAAGCCGTGTGTCTTACTAGCTCTGTCTATTAATTCATAATCATGTCACAGGTTCAGAGCCCCGCTGAAAAAGCACAAATAATAGACAAATTAAGGACTTGAATTAACACAACACTAACGAATGAATATAGCACACATAAATAACCAACTAATTTAATGATAAATTCAATATCACCAGAACAGAAAGGCCACCACTACGTCAACACGGAAGATTAACACACGATAAACAATGCAAGTACTAACCTCTGGTTGATCAAATAGCAATGACGAGGTACATAAGGCAGGTCTACACGAAGTCACATAATAGTTCACTCAAAAACAAAAATGACAATAAACGTAACCTAACAATTGCCGAAATTATCATATTGAAAGGCGTTCCCTAACAGCGTTTAAGCAAAATATAGCGACCATGTGTCCATTGACAAATTCATGTAATTCTTCAGCATTCAATTAAATTTTAATTCCAGTCTGAGCAAGTTCGAGCTCCCGTGCATGCTAATATAAACTCTTTAACCACCTCATGCTGAAGTTATGTTTCGAGCCCAGGTACTTGAAGACAGTATTTCTTTCATACTCTTTATCTGATTAGAATATTTAGTAAAATGTGACACAGCTAGGAATACTAAGTAACAAAATCGTTAGACGGTCTATTCGCAGTCACTTAAGGCCTACCTTTGGCAAGCGAATAATTTTGCTGTAACCACTTTTTTTAAAATCAGGCATATACATCCTTTCTTTTGGCGATCATGTATAATTAGCGGTTCTTATAATACTAAAAAAACTGTCGTTGCAGTGTCTTGCAGTACAAATTGCGCCGTTCAAAGAGTTGTTGAGGCCTCTTTAGGACGTCACATCGACATGTTTATTGAGAAGCGCCTCCCATTCGTGACGTTGAGGTTGTGCTGTGCCAGACATTCCTGTATTATCACACATTCCATGTGTTGCGTGCAGGCATTGCTGAGCCCCATGAGTGACGTGTTCATCAGGCTACTTCGTCGTAGGCCTATGCACGGCATCTGTAAAGGCCTACATTCGTGCATATATCGGCCTACATCTGCTCTCTAAGTGCAGGCTTAGCAGGCCTGTCACCCTCTTCCCGAGGCGTTCGAGCCTTCCCACAGTATGAATTTATATTGTGGGAAGGCTCTACAATATACAAAATTACGTCGAATTTAGTTTCAGAACAATATTTCTTTTTTCGTATTCGTCAGAGTCCTCATGTTTCTGCGCATAACGTATTCATGTCATCATTGCCACCCCCCGTTCTTCAAAACGATCGTTAGCTGTTACTATCACTCTCTCGAGACTCGCTCAGCGTACTGACGCCAGAAGGGAACTACAACGCAGCCTAAAGCACCGCTGCCTCTTCCGGCCGGCATGCAAATACGTTTTGACGGAGAGAATAGGTTTCCCTTGCTGTTACACTCTCAGGCTTCCCTCTTGTGTTGGCTTTGTGACGGTCCCGGACTGCTTTACCGTGGAACACAAGATGGATTGTGTTTTACCATGGCGCGTTAGCGTGCATGCTTTGAATACTGGCATTGCGCCGCCATGAGAACCGTCAGCACCGAAGCTAAATGTTTGTGTGGACTTGGTTGAACTTGCTGCGAGTTCAAGGAAAGTATGCCAGCGCTGAAATATCGCACCTGAGACGGGCTTATAACTTTCAAACTCAAGGGTGTGTGGAGTTCGAGATTTATGCGTACAATATTTTTGGCAGCCATGTTAACCTGCAGTCATCCGCGAACCTTTCATTACGGCTACGGCTTCATTATCCTTTCTTGTTAAACGACTGTAAAGTAACATGGCTTCCTCAAAATTGTTATCTCATATCTCCAACTAGCTTAGTTAAATCTCTAAAGTTTAAAATATAAAAGACAAGTGTTCCATATATACTTGCGCGTAGCCCTATTTTACGATTGCCTCTTAGGCGAATTTAAAGTTTGTAGTCTGAATGCAGGCCTTGTGTCTGAGCCGCTGTATGCAAGAGTCATTAAGGATCGTCGCTGTTGCACCGCTGCTAAGTAATTGATCTGTTGTGCCGTCAAGTCGAGATCGTCTTTGATCTTTGCTGCGTGTAATCCATCAGAGACCCAGCGTACGGGGCGTCAGCCACACCCTCTCGTAACCATCCAGGCTCCCCTGTTAAAACTTGGCGCAGCATGATTGCTGGGCGACTATGGGCCTTCGTCGAGATAACCATAAAGAATCTGTGATACTAAACGAGGTTATCTTGTATGTATACGTCGGACCCTCCGGCCCGTTGTTACTCGTATCCTTTCCATAACTCGAATTAAGTTTCAGATTTTTTCACCCGTTTCTAGCCATCCAAGCTCATATCTGACGTTGTTTCGCAGGGAACTTTCAAATTTGACTAGAAACTAGAGCTCGTTATTCGCATCGTACAGGGTGTAGTCTCCCTTGAACTGGAATTATTGCAAGGGATGATGCAGGAGATCAGAGTGTATTTAAATAGAGTAGGGGGCAACTCTTGGCTCATGTTTTTCTTGCTTTCAATTGTGCGTCTGGACTCTCGCCGTTGTTCGACTGTTTTATGAATTATTGTGATTGGTAAACTAGAGTTTTCGAAATAATTTTCACTTGAAATTATCTCCGGCTAAGCTACATCCATTTCAAACCTTATGCGAGAATTTTAGCAAGCCCACGGAAGCAAGTGCAGTGCGACGTTGCATGTTGTCTATAGGAGCATATTTCTGATCTCAGTGAAACCAAGATCATGTGGACAGTAACTTTGTCTGATCCGCGTGATATCGCCTCGCTTTAGAGGTCAACTTATCCCATTGAGGCAAGTCCCCGTCGCTACACCAGATGCTACTTCTCATAACAAACTACACGATCCAGCGCAGCTTTCTCGGCTCCTCAGTCGCGCTAAATGCCTCCCCCTCCAAATCTGGACCAAATCCACTCCATTGTGGGCTGCTCCAGCGACGCGTCTGCGATCGCTGATAAGTGCTGCGGGATTCCTCCTATTCTCTGCAGCGATCATCTGCAGAGAATTGGAGGTATTATTGCGAGTATTGCGGCTAACCTGAGTGTTGCGACTCATTCTCCGTTAACCTGTGTTGTGTTCATTTAGTTGACGTCAAAAAGATGGTAAACGCGGTAAACTAGGGTAAATAATTCAAGTTTATTTATGTTCAAAAACTTGGAAGAGATACCCATGCACAATCCTGAACACCCGAAAATGGAGCTCTTGATAAGTCCGATAAATGGTTATATATACACACACACGCGCCAGTTGCGTCGTCGTCGGCAGACGGCTAGGCTCGCTTTAGCTCTGCCAAGATTACCCTCATAAACATCAGATTTTGCCGCTCTGCTTGCTTTCTAGCCATGCTGAGCTGCTGCTAGCTCGGCTAGGAATGACCCAACTTAGTGCTCTCGAAAAGCTGATTCCCGAGTTGTTTTCTTGATCCAAATTACGCCCGTAATGACTTGAGTTGTTAAGGCTTTGTAGTTTGCGCTCGTCTCCTTCCGCAAAACTCGACGGTTGCTACTTATCTAATACTCGGTGCCCATATAATTTTGCTAAAAACAACAAAACTGAAAAACAAACAACAAAGTAAGTCGCGATGTAAATTAGTTTCCTTTTTAAATGTCCAGGTTGCATTTGTTAGTTTAACAGTATTATTGGTTGCTCGAAAGTGCAGGGGGCCCAGTTATTATGGCTCGAAGTGGAGAGTCCAAGGACCCCAGAAATTCCGCGAATTTGTAAGTTGTGGTTAGGCTGCCTCCTCCATATGCTGAGAAGATTGTATCTAGTTTTACCTAACAGTGGGAAGATATTGGCAAACAAGAATCGTATTCTGTAACTGAAAATGTGTTTACTTTTTTTCGGCTGTTGCCGTTGGAAACTCATTCCAAGCTCCACTGACTGGAATACGTTTGTGTCATAATTACGATAATCTTTCTTGTGTTTGAATTGTTATTCTCGCATCTCAAATACACCATTCTTTAGAAAGTATATGCTTACTTTACGGAATAAATTTTATGTAATGGATGAATCATTTTGCTTCAGGGCTTAGAATTCAATATGAATTTTTTAGGCTCAACGTGGAAATTTTTAATAGTGGGCATTAAGGATCAATCAATAAATTCATGTGCATACTTTGCATTCTGACATCAGCCCCTTTGGTATTGAAGAATGTTCCGTGACTTGTACGAAGTTAGCTGTAATTTTTCTAGTTATGCGTGTACTTTACAATGTTCATTCAGTGTTTAGCTTATTTTTTGTACATCTCTAACAGTGATTTCCTTTCCTTTACAGAACACGTCCAAGAGTTCTCATGTGGCCGCCTATTCTACAGAACTTTCCACCTGGATGAGAACAGAGACTCGCTCTACGTCGGCGCAATGTAAGTCCATTTAATACTTTTTGATTTTTCTGAATGTCAAGATCAAACTCAACAAATATTAACGTTTATTTCAACCTCACTTTAACCCACCTCCCATCCTACAACCCTTCACTTTTGCCTCCTTGCCGGCGGGGTCTCCACACCTCTGTACTGGAAGAACCGGTCTTTGTAATGGAGTCATTACCTGCCCGGCTGAGCGCTTGGCAGCTCTCTCTGGGGTTGTGCTGTTCATCCAGCACCTTGAAATTTCTTGCTTCCCATGCGCAGCGTCTCTGTCATGCCTTCCATTCGTAACGTCTCTGTCACGATGCTTTTAATTTGACGCGCCTCAGCCATGTTGCCTTTCATTTGTAGCGCCTGTCACGATCTCTACTATTTGTAGCGCCTCTATCATGGTGCATTTCATTCGTAACGTCGGGCACGATGCCTTTCTATGTACGCGTCTCTGCGATGATGCCTTCCATTGTTAGCGCCTGTCATGTTGCTTACCGTTTGTTGCGTCTCTCTCGTGAGGCTTTTTATTCCTAACGTCTCTGTCTTGATTTTTTCCATTGGAAGAGTCTCAGCCACGATGCCTTTCATTATTCATGATGTTTTATTATGTCATATATTTCATTATGTCATGATGTTTTTTATTCTTAGCGTCTCTGCCGTGATGCCTTTCGTTCTCTGCGTCTCTGACATGATGAATGTCCTTCGTTTCGATTTTGTCTCAGATGCCCTGCATTCAGAGCGTAATGGGTTTGCACACCGATTTGTGGCTCATACATACAAGTAGTATACGTTCGTTACCAATAAGTTCTATAGGTCAGTAAAATACCATCCACCCAAGCGTTTCGAACGGCTGCTGCCTCCTTTCGTTGGCGAAGCGTCTCATTTAAAGCTCTTTGTCTGGCTCACCGTGCAGTCTCCTATGTTGTCTGGTGCGCGGCGAACTCGAGGTAATGTACGTCACCGCGATTGTGATCGCAATTAAAGATCCCGCATCTGCATGGTATGACATCATTTATTATGCAATTACTAATAAATGTTACAACTGTTATCTCCTCAATTTGCTATTTTCATCAATTGCTTCCTGGTGCTAACTTTGATACGAGTGATTTTGCCCACTTTATTGTGCTTAAATTATTTATAGATTTTTACTTTCGATTGTCTTCCAGGTTGGCACTTAACCTTTAATTTCACTGTTCTTCTTCTGTTTGATTTGGGCCATTTTTTTGTAAATGCGAGCAGTTATTACCAAAAAACGCATTATTGCGTTAGCTGCTCGATTATGAAACGTCATTGATACCATTTTTATTATTATCAACTGACATAGTCTTGTACGGCTTTTATTCGGATAGGTTTAAACACTGCCAACGTATACGTCAATTATGAAAACCTGAAAACTCGACATAATTTTTAAAGTTACTCAATAAGAATCTTGTTCGTTTCATTTCTTGGTCGCTATAAAGTTACTCAACCAGCCGGAACCCGGAGCTTGAGTTTGCTAAGCTGTCAGCAGCGGCTGTTGTTCATGAGCCTTGATTCTTTTTTGTGGGCGGACGGCGGTTTGCGAGAGCGTGTTTTCTTGAGTGGTCGAGCGTGCTAAGAATCCCGTGCATAAATCATCATGGAGAACCGAGCGCCTCTCTGTTTGCAACAAGTGAAGTTCTGCAACACACTTATAGCTCTGCTGCTTCTTCTTCATGCTGCTGTTGTTGCAGCATCTTTACGTTGTTGCTATTGCTGATACTCGTGCTGTTGCGGGTACTGATTCTTTTGCCGTTTGATACTTGACCTGATGGCGTTGTGGATGATAATGCTGTTATACTGGCAGCATTGACCGTTCAAAAGCTCGCCTTCATTTACTCGTAGACCGCCGTTTATTTTTAAAATTGATCTGCTATATCGTCAGCTCTTCGTCCAACGTTAACAACTCATCGTTCTGATCACTCTTCTTTTCTTGCGGTACTGCTACGGATGCAAAACGCGTTTCTTCGCCAATCTTGTTCATAAAACATATTTTGTGTTTTGATGGTTTTTTAATGCGCGAATAAATAGACTATATGAGTTAAATCGGATACCTTGGCAAATTCTTGGTAATATGACAAGAATAATACGAATTTGAATTAGATTATTCCACCTCTAATTAGTTTCGATTTTAACTGCAATTGCTTTTACCTAGCACCTGTGTGAAAAAAAATCCTATGATAATATTGTGCTACATTTTTGTCCATTATTGCATATTAAACTTGCTCCCGCATACACTGTACAGTTCGCACCCCAACTTCTTAATATTACTCATAAAGCTATCTAATCCTAATGGGAAGGTGACGTTCATGCAACTCCTCACATTTAGGTATGGCAGTTTTTGAACATGTTATAAATAATGAAAACGTAACATATTTTTATGTTTTATTGTTTTTTTTTTTTTTTTTTTTGCTGCTAATGGATATTTTATCCTTGCTTGCACAGATATTTTTAGTAAATTTTTTGTGTCTATAACCTAACCTATAAATGTCAGGCCTCTCTGACTTTCAAAGAGGCCGAATTGCTGGTGCCCGTATAGCAGGTGCCATAGTGTGACAGAAACTTCCCGAATGCTTGACGTTTCTAGAGACGGCAGGTGCCATTCTGATGGCAGGTGCCAGTGTGACAGAAACTTCCCGAATGCTTGACGTTTCTAGAGGTACTGTCTCAAAAGTAATGACTAATTTTGAAACAGAATGAAAAACGTACTCGGGAAAGTACAGGTCTGGCCTTAAGTCGAAGTTGTCTGAGAGAGACCGTCGTTACCAAAATCGAATTGTGAGAGGCAATCGAAAGACCGGGGTTGTTAAAATTACTGCAGACCTTAATGGACACCTACAGAACCCTGTTTCCATAAAGCCTGTCCGCCGAGAGCTGTACCGATCTGTATTATATGGAAGAGCTGCTATTCAAAAACCTCCGGTTTCCAATTTAAATGCTTCAGAGCGTTTAGAGTGGTGTAAAAGCCTCCAGAATTGGTCCCTCGAGCAATGGAAAAATGTGAGCTCTGACAAATCATTGTTTACCTTATTTGCAACCTCTGTCCGAGTTTACGTTTGGAGACAGCCAAAAGTCATTCAATCCAAGCTGCCTCCTCCCAAACGTAAAACATGGCGCCGGATCTGTGATGATCTCGGATTCTGTTTCTTGGGAATCCCTTGCACCAATGATTCCTCTTCATGGAAGAATCAACAGCCGTGACTATTTAGGAATTTTAGAGAACCAAGTTCATCCGATGGTTGAAGTACTGTTTCCGGAAGGGAACGCCATCTTTCAAGATGGTTATGCTTCGATCCATTCAGCTGAAATTGTTAAAAAATGACACAAGGAACATTCTAATGAAGTCGAGCATCTCATTTGGCCGCCACAATCACCAGACCTGAATATTATTGAGCATTTATGGTCGATTTTAGAGCTGCAAGTCAGAAGTCGATTCCCGCCGCCATCGTCTATAACAGAGCTGGAGGAAGTTTTAACGGAAAATGGGTTGATATTCCTTTGGAAACAATTCACAATGTGTATGAATCAATACCTCAGAGAATTGAGGCTGTAATTACGGCAAGAGGTTGACCTACACATACTAAGATATATTTTGTGGCTTTCTCGGGTGTTTCCCTTATTTGTCTAACCCATTTATGACGATGGTGTGAGCTAATATCGTTAGGTGGAATAGCAGGGGGCAAATAGTGGGCTTTTATTGTTAGGTGAAATAGCTGGGGGCGAATAGTGGGTTCCTACTGTTAGGTGGAATAGCAAGGTGAATAGTTGCTTATATTGTTAGTTTTAGCAGAGGTGCTGGGTGTGGATGAAGATACATACCGAGGGAATGAATGGAGACATGACGAGTGGTTTATGAGATAGGAGTGTGAAGTGAAATGTTGGGCACCTAATGATGGACTGCGAGGCATATGAGGGAGAGCTAGGTTAGTTACGATGGAGTTGATGCTGAATGAAGAGGATGTGAGTGATGGCGTTAAGTATGAGAGAACAGGTAAGCGTGGATTGCAGTGATTGTGGGTTGTTTACAGGGGGCAAATGCCTGTGATCCAGATGACTAAGGGATATTTGGAGAACGTATGGAAGTTGTCTTGTTGATTTGCAAAAAGAAAAATGAAAAAATACGGGCTTGAATTTTAACCTTACACCAAATATCAGTACTCAGTGACCATTTCAGAATTTCCATTTCCTTGATTTGATGTATGTTAGTCTCTTGGAATGTCAGGGATTAGGGCGTTATGCTCTTAGTATATATCTTGGGCAATGCGTATTTTTTTCGTTGAATATTCATCAGGAGTGTGAGAGGTGCACTTACGGTATTTTTTTTACGTTATGATTATGAGCTGCTGTGCTGACCGCCGTTATATAGTCAGATCTGAGCTCGCCTCCCAAAATCCAACCATGGGAGTAACTCGAGGAAAATCTTATTACATTAGATCCTTTATTTTCATCCATGTTGATAGCATTATGAAAATGGCATGCAGATTCATAGGGTAAACGTCTTGTAAGCTTTCTATCCAGAAACCAATGTAGTTTGAAGTAGATTGAAAGCATCCCTAACAACACTCTTCCGAAATGAAGGTTTTGGAACAGTACCTAATCAAAAAAGTATCATCTGATCATTTCAGATTTGGCTTGATGTGTCGCATGCAGGCATTACTATATTTAATTCGATGAAACTCTGAACGTTATTCTAAGAATTTTTATTTTTATTCCATTTTTAAAATATTAAAGTCACTAATAAGATGATTTAGCTAAATTTGTCTGAAATTTCTTCAAGTTATCAAAGTTATCTATTCATGAAGCTAAGAACAATTTCTTATAATGAAAGCATATTATTAACATAAGCAAAATTTTATTTTCAAGAAACGAAAATATCCGTTTTATTCGGTCGTATTTCACCCAGAAGCCACCACGGATCGTTTTAGCTGCATCGCTAGACAACATTTTTAATCGTTATTTCTTTTATTTTTGAAGATTGGAGTCTCAATAATTGTTGGAATTGCTGAATTTATCAGAATTTCATGTTTACAAGCTGTTGGAAAGTTGACTATTCGCAAAGTAATTTATGATTCTAACTTATATTATTATCGAATTTAATTCAGATTTAATGCATCTCCCGAAATGTCAAATGCACATATGGGAGTTTAAGCCTTATCCATCAGCACCTTTTTCACGACCTCGCTTATCCTCGTGAGCCTCCGAGGTGTAGCTACTACCTCGACGTTTTCTTTCACAAAAATTAATTGCTGAGCTCAACGCTCTGTCATTTGCGCGAGTTTTTATTCATGAACGGTATCCAAGTCGTCGACGATTCATGTGTGTGTAATGCGCCTGTGAAATGAATGTCATTTGGTCCTTAGTTTTGTTTGTTTAGTTCTCTTTAATTTTCTGTTGAAGTCATAAATGATAATGTGAATAATTTAATAAAATTTATCTGTCTTTAAACTGTGTTTTGATATTTATTTATACATCAAGCAAAATCGACATGGTCATGTTATTTAGATTTTATTTAATTGACTTTGTGCCGCAAATCAAATTTCCATAGCAGTTACCTTGCACTGTTATTATTATAAAAATGAAATTATTTTTTCTGTCGTATCATTTAATTATAACAATAAATCTCCGTGATTTTATCTGTGTTAAATTCTTGACGTGGCTATTCCTGTCAGATTTTGTTTTTCTTAAAAGCCTGTTTACTTATATGTGACTTCATTATATGACGTAATTAATTCCAATAATATTTAATTTCAGGGACCGAGTGTTCAGAGTATCACTGAGCAACATCTCTCTGACCAACTGCGAGGTGAGGAAACCATTCAAAGAACATCTCAATATTTATCACTTGAAATATTCCCCAGCTGTAACTTGTAACTTATGACGCAAGTTTTTTTTTCAATAATTGTTGCATATACTAACATTTCTAACATATAATAGAACAATTTTTTCCTAATAATTTAATATCGGACGCATTCGTTTACTTGCAGGGCGATTCAGTGAAACTTGACCCGACGAGCATCGCGACGTGCGTCAACAGAGGCAAGTCTGAGGTGAGTCGCTAACTCTTCAATATTGGCCAGTTAGTGCACTGTTAGATAAATTACCGTTAACGGTATTACCGGCGTTTCAGTGGCCGGTCGGCACGTGAAAAGGAACACCGCGTCGCCGTTTTTATTCTAATTTAACGCTAGAAATCCGTAATACATCTGATAAAAACGGCGAAACAGTTTATTTTCACGGGGCGGCCGGCCACTAGAACGCCAGTGGGACCGTTTTTAGCGCATTTTCTCATTTATGGAAAAAATGCACTATTGTGCTCGCCATGTCCGTCTGTCCGTCCGTCTGTTCGTGACCTCAAGCTTTCATCGACGAGAAAATGCGCTCTCTGTCACTCACTGCTGTGAGTACTGAGTTATATTTTTTCTAACAGTGTGTGGATATATCCATTGGTCATGTAGGCTTGCAGTCTATTATTACACGCTTTTGCTGTATTGTCTGCCATTGTGGTCGCCTCGCTCACACGTATTGCTGACACCATATTCCTTCCTACCAAGCTTCTCGTTGTCTTCTTATCAAACGTTGCAACCTTAACTTGACATTTGGTTAGTGCTCAATGCATTATGAGATTATTTGTTACATTCATTGCCATTTCTCACGAAGAACATTAATTTGATAAGATAGAACTGTCAGAGTACAGATACTATCTCATTCCTTTTTATTCGCCTAAAATTTCGATTAATTTTCATGCTTCTACTTGAAAAGTACGCATTGTGTAAATTAAATCTAAACCTACTATAGTCGAAGTAAATATAATTAAGTATATATGTGCAATGAATAGGTAGCTTACTCTAAATATGAGATAAACTTGAAGATCTTGTGAGAAAGATTATATTTCCATTGTTTGTATATAGTGACCTAAAAAATCTAGCTCAAATTTTGTTCTAGAAAGTCAGTTGAATTCGAAATAATTTTTTCTATGTGCGTTATTGCAGTTATATTTTGAAGGAGGAGTTGAATGAAATTTTTTTATTAGTCTTGTCGAAGCTAACAAATATTGATGAACGCGTCGGCATTGTGGCCATAGCTGGAATAAATATTCATTAGTACGCCATCATTCTCATCTGACATTCCAGTGAAACGATTGTGAAAGCGTTCACTCAGCGCAGGATCAAATGAGAATGTATTTGTTCTTGTTTGCTGAACCAAACTTGTGATTTTAAACAAAATTACAGATTTTGAAAAATTAATGCAAGTTGTACCCACGCAGAACTTTGAGTGCCGCAACCACGTGCGGGTGATACAGCCCATGAGCGACGACAGGCTCTACGTGTGCGGCACCAACGCGCACAACCCCAAGGACTGGGTCATCTATGTGAGTTGTCTTATTGTACCTGCTGCTGCGGGAGTTGTCTTATTGTACCTGCTGCTGCGGGAGTTGTCTTATTGTACCTGCTGCTGCGGGAGTTGTCTTATTGTACCTGCTGCTGCGGGAGTTGTCTTATTGTATACTGCTGCTGCGGGAGTTGTCTTATTGTACCTGCTGCTGCGGGAGTTGTCTTATTGTACCTGCTGCTGCGGGAGTTGTCTCGTCTTTATCATTTTACTTGCTGCTAAGCGAGATGTCGCAACACAATCACTTGTTGCGTCTTGTTCTTAAGTTTGAATTAATATCCTGAAGTCAGGATCATGTGCCTTCGCATCTAATCATTCAAAAAGTAACACGAGTATTTCAATGTGAACACATGACACTTCTCGACTGATCATCTTTACGCCTAAGAATTTTGAGATGTATCATATTTCTGGAGCGTGATTATAACCCCGAATGTGGTGTTGGTCGCAGGGCAACTTATCACACCTACAGCGGCAAGAGCACGTGCCAGGCATTGGTTCAGGCGTCGGCAGATGTCCCTTTGATCCTAACGACAACAACACGGCCGTGTGGGTGGAACACGGCAACCCTGGTGGTTTGGCGGGCCTATACAGCGGCACCGTCGCAGAGTTCACTAAAGCTGATACCGTCATCTTCAGAGGAGACCTTTACAATACCACCACCAAGAGGAGGGAGTATCCCTTCAAGAGGACCATTAAATATGACTCCAAGTGGCTTGACAGTAAGTATTAGACCTTATATACATGCATAATATTTGCTAATGGCCTCCCATGTTCTCGTGAGAGAATTCGTTGTTTGGAGTGAACTTTTGCAAATGTGGATTACGAATATGAAGCTGCTGCATTTAATAAACAAATAATTTCGTTTACTACTCATATTAAAAGGTATGTAGGTCATACTCTCGCTGAAGACGTCTACTGACTTATGATTTTTAGTCAACAAATTATACAATATTAAACGTTCGCATTAACCAATAATTTTAATTTCTTATATCAAGCTTCAGAACAAAAGCTCAAGGATAGCTGAACTTACCTGTTTTATATTATAGAAGTAACCTGGCTCCTAAACATTATCTTAATTTCTTTCCGGTAAGATTATTGCGGACGATCTTCCTCGTTTCCTAGGCTCCTTAAAAAAATATATGCGAATCTTGCCCCTGCCAGAGCCAAACTTTGTGGGCTCGTACGACGTGGGCGAGTACGTGATGTTCTTTTTCCGCGAGACGGCCGTGGAATACATCAACTGTGGCAAGAACATTTACAGTCGAGTGGCACGAGTCTGCAAAAAAGATACTGGAGGAAAGAACCTTCTCACGCAGAACTGGGCTACTTACCTCAAAGCCAGGCTCAACTGCTCCATTCCTGGGGAGTTTCCTTTCTACTTCAACGAAATTCGTGAGTTCCAGATTGGGTGATTGTGTGTGGAGGCGATGGAAGTTTAAGGCCGCTGATGATGGGCGTTCTTTATTTTTTTCCTTTCGGGCATGGACATCATCAGTAGCAACGAATCACTGGGTCGTTGTTTTTCCTCATTAACTTTTTACGGTTATCGTGTCGAAGAACTTATTACTCGATAATTTTGCTATTAATAATTATGTAACATGTTCACAAATGTGTGCAGAATTATTTCAGTGTTTAGCTATTTAATTAATTTAAATACATTCCTAACCAATTTAACTTTTTTCTCAAATCATTTGCATATCTTTCACAAAGACTTGCTTTTCTACAGATACTAATTTCCTTCTTCCTCAGTAATTAGCTTTTCTTATTGCATAATTTATAGATCTATACGAAGAAATTCGATTTATTTCGATACGAGCCCCGTTTTAAGCTTTCTTCTCGAACTCTCGTCCTTTTCATTATCTAGCCATATACTCTTGATTACTCCACATTTTTCCTTCATCCCTTAATTAATTCCTTCATTCACTACTACATCTGTGTTCACTTTTATTTATTTTCATTTTACCGTTTTAGTAATTGTCGTTTCTACCGTCATAAGTAAAAACTTGCTCCCCTAACAAGTATGGCTCTCCCTTGCACTGGTTAGAGTCCGTGTACAAGATCCCCGGCGACGACTCGAAGTTCTACGCTGTGTTCACTACGAGCATGAACGGTCTCATGGGTTCTGCCATCTGCACCTTCACCTTCGATGCCATCCAGAAGGCGTTCGCTGGCCGCTTCAAGGAACAAGCCACGTCTTCTTCCGCCTGGCTACCCGTGCTCACTTCCAAAGTCCCAGAGCCTAGACCGGGGCAGTGCGTCAACGAGTCCCAGACATTGCCGGGTGAGTTTAGCTGGTTTTGATGGAGAACGAAGCATGTGGCGGTGCGTCGACGAATGTGACTTTGTCAAGTGAATTTAGTGACTTAAATTCGCAAGCCAAGACTAGGATAGTGCGTCAACTAGTCACTGACTTTGCTGTTTCAGAATTTTGCAAGTCTCAAATGTTGTTAGGACATCTAGTGTTCTGATAACACAGTTCTGTCCTATTTCACGGGTGCAGTTGAATTAATTGCCAGGTTTTTACGTTGTCAATCTGACCTAAATGTGTTAATTCTCAAGGCAAACTTTTTTGCTTTTGGTCTTTGAAGTATATTTGAATTCACTCCGAATGTTCCAAAATGAATTTCCTTTCATGTCTTAGCTTTGATAAACTGGGGATCAAAGCAGCGAACGATTACAATATTAGTCTTATTCATGTCACTGAACTATGAAATTAGAATATTTGGCGAGTCATTGTCCCGCTGTCGTACAGAGAGACACTAGAACTCTCCGAGTTACGCGATTGTTCTTCATTTGTCTGCATACACAAAGGACTTTTGGGTCACAAGTCTTATTGTCCAGAGCAAATCAATTCGTGGCCCGACTTCTGGGTCGCTTTGTTAAGGGGCGAGCTAATTTTTCACCGTCGCAGCACATCACAGACCACGACACATCTCATTTATATATGTTGCTTGCTGGTGGTGGCCCACTTATGAATTTCATTAGGTTACATTAGTTTAGGTAGGTTTGGTAGAGGTTCTAGGATCTAAGATTTTTCAATAATAATGGTGTCTTTATTAATGGAAGTTCGGTTTCTGCAATCATTTTTCATTCCTTGTCTAACCTGTCCGATTTATTCAATATCGTTAATGAATTCATATTCTAAAAATTCTTATTCACGATTATGAATTGTTTTAAAATCATGTACTTGATTATGAATTTTTTTAATTCATATTCACAATTGTGATCGTATAAATTCATATTCACGATTATGCTTGCATACAAAGCTGCTTAAATGGTGTTATATCTTGATAATGCATAAAAATTAAATACTGGCATCGCATACATGTTTTCATATACTGACTCGGCTAAAATGTCTTTAGTTACTGAACCTGCCGAAATGTTAATAGAAACTGACAGCACATAAATGTTAAATTGCTGACACTGCGTAAATTGTATAGGATACTTACACAGCGTAAATATTAATTGACTACGAAGAGATTTCATAAATGTTATTAGACAGTGTGATTGCATAAATGTTATGATTCTGATTGTTATGATTCTTGTGATGATTCTGAAATGTTAATCTGATGATTCATAAATGATTCTGACACTGCACAATTAATTGATTATCTGATAGTTGTCGTGCTCTTTGTGATGACCTCTGCAACAATTAAATTGACAAATCTTGCCCAGAGTGCAGAACATAGCAACGCTTGTATCAGTTCAGCGTGGCACTCAATGACTTATATTCAATTGTCATGGGAAGGCTAGCCTGCAACGTGGATGTGGATCAAAACTGTGCAACAAATCTCTCGGCAATTATTTATCATGCGAGTTATCTTTTGAAGCTCTTCATCAACCCTCGATGCACGTGTAAACAATCAGTCGCAATTGCATTTATTTGTACTTATTTAAACTGTGGTAGGGCGCATTCGCCATAAAATTTAGCTATATGCCATCGCTTGTACGGCTAGGATTTGTATATATTTTGCACTTCGATGTTTCTTTACATCCGTGTTTTATAATGGTCGTGATACGTTTCCAATTTTTGTCGGTCATTTTTTTGTCCACATGTAGGCGCAAGTTTCAATAGACCATTCGCAGATTCTATACTTGTTATTATGCATTTTAATTTTGTTGAAGAGAACGGCAAGTTAATCGACTTTGAAAGCTGGAGTTGCGTTGACACAGGATGTTGTTGTGTTGCAGACAACGTGTTAACGTTCCTGCAGTCTCACCCTCTGATGGACGAGGCTGTCTCTCACGAACACCACACGCCGGTTTACTTCAAGAGAGACTTGGTTTTCACTCACCTGGTCGTAGATAAGGTCACTCCAGACACCCGCTCGCCTATATCGTCCACCTACACCGTCTACTACGCTGGTTCCAGTGAGTTAATACATGACTTAACATTACTTAGTTTAATCACAAAGATTCTCAAAATAGAAGCCCGAAGCTGACCGAATTGTGTGTTTTTTTAATTGATCCCTCGAATGATATGAAGTAGTATCTTATTTATATATTTTAAGACTATAATATGAAGTTTTCCCTAATTACCGGTTTACATCACACGTTATTTTTAAGGATGAATGTCAACATCACGGTTGCGTTTGTTTCTGAGGGTAACATAGCGCCTAATGGGGTTAATACCAGAGACAAGGTATGCAGTTTTTACATGGAAACTAATCATCGAGTACGTGGTGTATTCATATATTCATCAGTATTAATTATGTGGATGTGACGTTCAGCACAAGTTGCGCGCATAGAAGTCTCGACAATTATTAACCTCCTTCTAAAATTTCTTTTAGAATTAAATAATGTAATATATTTAGAATTAATAATGTAATAGAATTTAATAGAACGTAGACATGACAATATTATTTTAATGTACGTTAATGTTTCTAAACGATCGTTGTGCAGTTGAAGGCCGCGTATACAAAGTGGTGCAGTGGCTGGACGCGGACGGCATGTCGCACTCGCAGCTGCTCGACGTATACGAAGTGACGACTCCTGAGCCCATCACAGCCATCAACATCTCCCCCAAAGTACGATATACATTGGCCTCCTATATTTTATCACCACCTTCTTACATCGAGCTTCCTGATTTGTCAAAATCGTCATCCCTACTTTATTTTTTAATTTCGACAGGAGTGTATTCTACATGATTCTTATAATTGACTTTAAATGTCTTTGGTTCATTCTCTTGAAATATTTTTCCCGACTTGGCAAGACAAGTTGTCTATTGTGCGGCATGATAGGGGAGAATGCGTTTATATACGCCGTTCTTGTCCCGTTCTGTCGTGACAAACGAGGAGCAGCATCCACGGATCTATTCAGTTCTCCCTTAAATTCGACGCCTTCTTTCACCCCTTCCGACATGCGAGATTGCCAGAGTTTGGTGCGCGTGTTTGCCCTGGTAATTGGATAGAATTTTGTGGCGATGTTTGCATTGTGTTGAGTGTCGTCTCTCCTCCAGTGCCTTCGTCTTGAACGTATCAAACATAAACTTCTGGAGCTCAGCTCATCGATTCCGATGGATTAGCATTCCGTTTTGTTCGTATCTCGATCAATTATTCTGTGTAAACCTCAATCGCGTGTATTGGTAGTTCAGTTTTGAGCAGCGCAGGCTTGAAATATCTTTGTCTAGAGCTTGTCGAGTCTGATTCACTCCTCTTGCAATTGAATATGTAAGAAGTTCTAGTTGTGTATAGCTGTTAAACTCCAAGAATAACGTTACTTTGTTCATTGCAAGCAATATATTTGAAGGATATTCTGTTCTGTTTGCACATAGTTCATGCAATGCCGCTCAAGAGAATTATGCATTCCATTTGTAGGAAATTTGTGAAGGTAATTATAGTGTTATACGGTGCAATGCACAGACGCGAACTGTAGTGTTTTTATGGAGTTGATTCACGTAGGTTAAGGAAGTGTTTTTTTACTGAGTTAGAAGGAACCAACGACAAATATCAAGACAAATTAAAGTCTATATCTAACTTGTATAATGACGAAACTTCTCAGAGGGCAACCTTCACAAACAAATTTTGTAGATTTTATTTAGACATGTTTCATGATGAGGTTTTTGCGCATTATGGGAGCAGAATTTAGAAGAGTCCTCGAATACCCTATTACGGTTCTTGTATATAAATAGATTTCTTAATAATTGAAAACAATCTAGATTTGATTTTAAATTTAACAGCTTATTTGCACTATTTGATAGCAACCCCAACATTTTTACCCGACACCTCAACTAGTTTATGTTCCATAGATTTTAAGTTGTTCACACTGCTCTCATATGCGAACTGGTTTGTATGTGTGGTTGCAGCACCAGAGTTTGTACGTAGCGTCGGACAACAGACTGCGACAAGTTGACCTGCTGCTGTGCCACGGTCGCTACGACAACTGCTTGAGATGCTCACAGGATCCTTACTGTGGCTGGGACAAGGATGCCGGCACATGCCGACCCTACCAACCTGGGTAAGCCTTCTCTCTCTCTCTCTCTCTCTCTCTCTCTCTCTCTCTCCCTCTATCTCTCTCTCTATATCTCTCTGTCTCTTGGTAGCGGTGTTATTGTTATTGTTAGCGGTGCCACATCTGTTATTGTAATATACATTCCCATGGTGTCCTAATGGTTAAGAGTTTATCTGTAATTGTTCCTCCCTCTATAATTCCGATATATAATAGCAAGATTTTCCGTAATGATACACTTTTTTTAGATTTCATTTCTATATTATTACTAATCATCGATGATTCGCTTCTCGCTAAACTATTGCCGGTGTTTAGATTCACCATCACTTCATCCATCACCATCACTTCCTCTAAAATATGCTAATGCTCATACTTGTACTATTTTTCCATCCATCTACATATTCACCTGTCATATAACTACTCCATGTTATAATTAAAATTCGATTTACTCGATAATACATTCTGCGTGTAGTTATTTATTAAGGTTTGCAAGAATATAACTTATATGTTATATAACTGTTCTGAAAATTGGTATTTTCTTGTTACACGGCCTGCCTCTACACGCCGTGTTACAGGCTGCTGCAAGACGCAACTTAACCTGCCTTGCCCCGTGTTACAGGCTGCTGCAGGACGCAACTTAACCTGCCTTGCCCCGTGTTACAGGCTGCTGCAGGACGCAACTTAACCTGCCTTGCCCCGTGTTACAGGCTGCTGCAGGACGCAACTTAACCTGCTTTGCCCCGTGTTACAGGCTGCTGCAGGACGTGACAGGCCTGACGCCCGGCGTGTGTGACGCGAGTATCGGCAAGAAGAAGATGCTCGTGACGTGGGGGCAGAGCGTCCACCTCGGCTGCGCTGTGAAGCTGCCGCGGCCCATCGCCCTCAAGGACGTCACGTGGCACCACTACTCCAAGGAGAAGGGCAAATATCAGATCAGATATCGGTCAGTCTTGCTACCTCATGTCTCAAATATTACCTTGTTATTATAGCCCAACATATACCTACCTACAGAATTATTTTATTGGCTGAGTCACGAAGATTACTATTTTGATTCCCAATTAATATGAATATGAATTTTAAAATAATTTAAAAAGATAATCTACGAATATAAAGAAATAATGAAAAAATCAAATTGAGAGTGTCATGTAAACAATTTTTGTACCATTTTGCGCTTACGACAAATTTCTCGGGAAAAATTATGATGCGTTTTTAGTCAAATTGGAGTATTTTGAAAGATCATAAGCAGTCATCAATTATTGCATTACGAATAGTTTTGACTCTCATGTCTCATCGATAAAATTTCAAGTTGGTTTGGAACGTTTGTGCTGCAGGCACGATAAGTACATCGAGACGAGCGAGCACGGACTGGTGGTGCTGAGCGTGACGGAGCAAGACGCTGGTCGCTACGACTGCAAAGTTGGCGGCAACATCGTGTGTTCCTACAACATTACGGTCGACGCCCACCGCTGCTCTGCGCCCGCCAGATCCAACGACTACCAAAAGGTGACGTGTTAAGACCGCTGCTCTGCGCCCGCCAGATCCAACGACTACCAAAAGGTGACGTGTTAAGACCGCTGCTCTGCGCCCGCCAGATCCAACGACTACCAAAAGGTGACGTGTTAAGAAGAATCACGCGGCTGAGTTCCATTTCTACCGGGTACGTGTGATGTTTTTCAATTGGATTGCAATTCCAGTTAATAAATTTGGGTTGAACTATGTGTGAGCTTACCAACAATTGGTTTTACAATGTTAGAAATTTTATATTCTATAAAATTTGATGACTATGTAACAAGATGTTTGTGGTTCCATGTATTGCCGCTAACGTTGCACAGCTTTTTTAACTCGTGATTGTGATTGTTCATTAATTGATTTCTAATGTTAATTTCATAGCCTCCTAAACAATACGGACAATAATTTCCTGTGACTGGAACTCTCTCTCTATAACATGTGCTGTCGTGTCAGTGTTTAGAATACAGATCATCATTGACCTGGAAGGCCTTAGCGTTGATACATTGAACCTTAGCGCTGTTTGTTAGCCTTGACCTACATACACACGTGAATTAGTTGTACATTGCACAATAACATTACAATAATGGCGGTTCGTCTCTCGCTGCAGGTGTACAGCGACTGGTGTCACGAGTTCGAGAAGTACAAGATGGCCATGAAATCCTGGGAGCGTAAACAAGCGGTGAGTTATGAACTTGTAATTGGACTTGTGTAACCTGCCGCTATAGTAATGGTCTCTTTGCATGAGCTGGTCTCTGGAAACCATCTAACATCTTGAAACAAACTATCGTTTCAAGAAAAGTATGTTTAATATCTTCAACTATTAAATTGACAGTGAATTCTGCTCAGTCTATTGATTTATTATTAGTTATTAGGTTACGGAAAAAAATCCCATCCGATTTTCTTCCTTCATTAGTACCTCGGTAAACTGGAGCTTAGGGCGCATATTCTTAGTCGTCTTTAGCTTCAATTTTACAAAGGTTTCCATGTTCTCACACTCTTATTCGTGTTCTCGTCGATGTTAGTATCTCGACATTCGTCAATGTTTTCAATATGCTCACTCGCAATCTCTATCTTCAGAGGCCATCATAATTAAATGATTAATTTTCGCCCTGCAGCAATGCCTGAACCGTAGCAACGTGAGCACCCAAAGCACCCACGCGAACGACATCTACCAGCACCCCAACAGGTTCCTCTGAGGTACGGCCTCCGCTCTGGCGCCCTCTCACGACTCTCCCTCGGCCGCCTGTCCCGCGACCCACCGCGTCACGCGCTCGTATGTCGCCTTCGCGGCCGCTATGCTGTACGCGGTCACTCGTGCGTATCGAGTGTAACTGCGGTACATGCATCTACATAATATCCTGCATACGAACGTTACTACTGTTATCAATATGACTTTTACGATTTGATTATTTGTGTCATCTGTACGTTATTACGAATCTGTGAGATGTTTTTTTTAATATTTGTAGATTCAAAGCAACAATTCCTGTTTAGTTCTTTTTTCATCGAGCATGAACTAATAACTAGGGAAATGAAATTAGAGATGCGTGTCAACCAAATACAATCAGTGATGTAATTAGAAGGCGATTAAAGCTACGTAACGTAACAGAATCTAGTATTCCCAAAGCTAATTAAATAGACAGTTGTAAACATTTTCTGATTATACGGTTACACAGCCTCTTGGTTATTAACAAAATCTAACGGCCTTCAATCATTTCTCCGATCGCGTATTAATTCGAGAGAAATTTCGCTGTCCAAGAGATGTCATGAGTTTGATTTATCAAAATATTACTTAAACTCCTGGATTGCTCATTATACAATCGCCTCAATAATGCGAGTGTTGAAGGGACAATGCCATGTAACAAATACTCCGGGGCAGATGCCGGTAAACAAACTGCCTTGAAGCGCAGTTTTTGAACGTTTGTATTTATCAAACCAGTTTATTTGTTGGATCCATTTTTGACAATATAAGACCCCTGGGTGATGAAAAAATGCAAAATGTAAATGAGCAGTAAAATTGTTACCCATCTTGCAACAGATTGAAATAACTGCCCTGCAAAAAATATTGCACGAAGAGGCACTTGATGAATAAGGTTTAAGATCTGTCATGACGCCTTGATGGCGGTGAAGATTATGAACATGCCAATCTTTTTCATTATGATACTGTGATTACAACGATATACTTCTAATGGCTTTTACTGCTCGTTGTATTTGGGGCGAACTCATGGTAGATAATTGTTGCAGCTATTTTACTTGTTAAAAGTACGGACATGGAAAGTTTTCTGAACAAAAGCGGATTAATTAACATTATTAAAGATGACAACGGGTTTGAGGTGAGAAAAAATTTGTTATCGTGTTATTTTGCATCACTATGCCTGCCCCAATTGAGGTCATAACTGCTATTGAGGCAGTGCGAGGGTGTCGCAGCAATATCCTGCCACGTTTTTTGCTAATTAGGAATTAAAGCTCTGTAAATAATAAGATCTAGACGTCCATTCGCAGCTCCTGGTGGTGTTTTATAATGTCTCCCTAATAACTCACTAGGCGCAGTTACCACCGACCACTGAAACGTACATTGTTATCAGCGCGCACATCACAACTATGATGTTGTTACAGCACGCAACAGGCGATCGTTTCGGCGAGGTGTTTTGCGTTCTAATGCTACATCGCTACACTTGCGTGATGCAGTATAGCTACTACATCGCTACACTTGCGTGATGCAGCATAGCTACTACATCGCTACACTTGCGTGATGCAGTATAGCTACTACATCGCTACACTTGCGTGATGCAGCATAGCTACTACATCGCTACACTTGCGTGATGTGAATGCTCTTGCACTCTGTATTCTCTTCGATCTCTAATGTATTTCCGGTGGCTGCAAGTTGTGTTATGTGCTAGCGTTGGATCGTACGTGGCTTTTAGCAGCTGCTGTTAACGTGTGTGCAGTAGTACGAGTCATTCTGTCTCTCTCAAGAATACAAGACGCTCCTTTGGTGTCGCTAGATTGCACTACGTTAAGTCCGCAACACACACCGCGATTTTGTACACAATCAAGCAAAATAGCTTCATGGTATTCACGAAGTCGGACTTTACATTGAAACATCATCATGCAGCTGAGCAGAAAAAATAACTTAAAGCTCAGTAAGAACTTGAATCCAACAGGATTTAATCTCAGCCTGCATGAATAACAGAAGTTAACTACGTTGTATCGTCACAAAAAATCGGTGTGTAGTGAGACCATAGGCTCTCATTTTCCATCGTTGTTAATCGTTTGACGCTTGGGTCATCAGGGTATTGTTCTTCATAAACCCTACACAAAATTACGTTAGACTATGCCATAATTTTCTCAGGTTACTTTGTCTCGTTTCTGTTGACAATCTCACTCTTTATTGACGTGGTTGCTCCTTTTTTATTTTTTTCTGGTGAGAATTTGTTATGATGCTTGTCTATCTCGTTCTTGCCCTTGATTTGATGTAGTGAAGTGAATATTTTGTAATTAAGCGAATCTATTTTTCATATGCAACATTCAAAGTAATTTAAGAATAACGCTATCTCGAGCCGAATTTTTGAATGTGTTTAAGCTTAGTAGGATCTGAAAGTGTATGTACAATTGTATTGACGGAAGTAAAGGTGTTTAGAGGTTCTCAGCTTCAGAAAATGAGCAGGGAAACTGTCGATACGTAGTTACTGCAACCGAAGGGATTATTCTTGTAATTATAATCTATTGGTGACGTGATGTCTGACATGTGATTTTCTTGTAAATACTAACGTACCATTACATATGTCCAACACCTATCATTTCATTAATTTCAGTTCACACCTTCTGTTGATTATCCATGAGTTTAAATATTAGCACGTATTTTATTTGTATTTCATTACAAGCTTTCGTTAGGGCCTTCATGGTCATGTCGTTCTTGCATTATTTCTTTGCCGACCACTTATATATATTCTTATCCCGGACCAAGAGAATCTCAGGGTGAACGGTTCTAATTTTACTTAGCACTTCAAGTGACTACGCAGTATAAGCACAGTATCGATCGGATCTTGGTTTTATTTCATTGATTTATGAGCGCCGATGCTCTCTCTCATTGACTGGAGAGAGTAGTCCGTTGTCGGATATCATTGAACAATATTGATCTAGAGTTGAACAAATGAAGGGAACATTCTACCCTTAAGCTCTTGAAAGGATTTATTCGAAATACTCAAAAGTAACTTAAGTTTATGACCTGCTTAACCGCACTGACTTTCTTCAATCAAATATTGACATTTGCATTCGAATGAATGTTAGGTGTATTATTCTATTTAAAGCAATTATATCACTTCAAATTCTTGATTCCGACAATATAAACTGTTAGTGCAACATATTTATTTGCACAACGAATATATAATATTATAATTAGTTCATGTTGAAAACTACCTTCCCAATGCGCTGAAATCTACAAAACTTCCTCGGCGTTTACGAGGCGATGACATAAATAAAACTTCTACTCATACCTTGCATTTCAAGACAATCCATACGAAAAAAGTCTATATTCTGAAAATTTTCTTTTCTTATTTTGAAAGGATGGTCATAATATTTTCGACCGATTTTTCATGAATCAGTCTTCGTTTTTACGGATCTAATGAAAAGGATCGTCATTTCTTAGATGCACAAGTATTGTCAGAGAACATTTTAGGTCACGACTCAATGCTGCTATTGTGTACATTATTAGTAAGGATGTTATAGGCATTACTTTATGTATTTTAGTGATGAAGTTTAGTGCATACGATTTATTTATTTCACGAACATTTTCAACGCTGGGTTTCTGATGTCAATAATAAGTCAATCGTCCATTTTCATAGCTGATTACAGTCATGCGGTATGTTCGTTTCGGTTCAGTTGTGTATTTTTAAATCTTGTCCTTTTTACTCGAGCCATCTTTTAAAATGTGGAATAAATATGTATAAATAAAACGTTTTATAATGACCTTGAGTTTCACTGTCGTAAAATATATGTTTTCCTGTAATAATAAGTCGATTCCACAATATTCTTTACTACTGACTTGCAGTTCACAAAAAATGCATCATTGTTCTTACATTTGCTTTATGTATGAACAAATAAATACCATTGTTGCGACGCAACAAAAACATTATTGATACAATATTGATATAAAATATAATTTTGATAAAAATACAGCACTGAAATAAATTATTGATATAGAATGCGATCAATATCATCCACTAAGAATTCAAAGAAAATCATTCAACATTTGTTCGAGATGTCATTAGGAAGATAATTTACACTAAACTGCAACGCTTGTGCGTATTTACTCGCAAAACTTCCAAAAATGAACCGATCTAAATATTAATAAATTTTGGTATAAATTAAATGATAGGTAATTTCGTGCAAATATCTAACCGCTATGCATCATTATAGGTGATTCAGTGCAATCCTATCTAAAATTTAAATGGACAGTATTGAACAACAAAGTTTTCATTTAGTAGATGAATATTGTCTTAAATCGATCGATTGCCAAACGAATGCTTGCAAATTGTGGAGCGTACAGTCGCGTTACGGCTGGCTGCAACAACGGGGGTGCTAAATGAACGAGCCAAGTTACTAACTGATGTTTCAATCCTGGTGTATTTCACTAATAACTAAGAAAATATTAAATATTACTTAACTAAACAATTCAAAGAAAAGGAAAATACATCGAATTAATTCCTATACATTGAAAATGTAAATTTTTAATTACCAACTATTCAATTCAAAAGATTTTTTTGTTTGTCGAGACCTAATAATTTTTTTGCAACATTGCAACCATATTAACGTTACGTAATAGCGCTTTGAATAAAATGATAAAAAAAACTGCAAGCCGTTACGAAAAAGCACTTTCTTTACACGAGAAAGTCCTGCGTAATATCGAGGTAATTATTGTTTTGCGTCGCATTTACCAGACGCCAACATCCCCGTTAAGAATAGCAGCCGTAAGCAACCCAGTTTACATACGTCGCAGTATAATCGCACAATAGGAAAGTGCGTGTGTTCCTTGGCCATACCCCAGCAAAACGGAGTCCAGGCCGAGCTCTAAAGATGTCCAAATATTTACCAGGCGCAAATTCTCAGCGATATTCAGCTTGGGAAGAGCGCTTTTGCCGCTAACGCGTCTAAGGTAATGGCAAATTTGGCTTGCAAATTTTAAGCGGCGTCACATTGAAAAACATCGTCAACGAGGCTGACCGAGTATTGGAGTTGACATCAAAAGGCTTCAATTGGCTTCACTTAATAGGCAATCAGTTGTGGGCCAATATTTTTACATCCAATTACCTTTTCTAAAAGTCAAGAAACTGGTATTGAAATGAGCTTCACCAAAGGATCTGGTGAATGTGAGAAAATTAATGCAATAAGCAATTTTTAGGCCATACATAAATTTTCCTATGTTGAGTTTCAAATGGATTTCTTGTTGCTTAAAACAGCTGCATACAACCCCTAATTGTAATGGCCTTTCCTATTCATCGATACGTCACAATCTTGAAATTACGGATCCATTTGTGTAACTGTCGACTAATTTTTTCTCGGCTCATTTGCCACTTGTGTGCATTAACTACATTATTCGTAATGCAATACAATAGGACCGTCATTAACGCAATTAATTCATTACAAAAGATGACCAATAAACCTACCAGTATTCCTAATAAATTCAAAATATGTTACCCCGACCGCTTCCGACGAGCGTTTGATCCACGGGTCGCCGCCGCCAGAGGAGCATTTTTTACGCGGCGATGGCAAGGAAATACAGACAGCCGAGAACTCATTGTCATCCTTGGTTTATTTTCAAAGGAGGGGAGCAGATAAAAAAAGCACGCTCGATCCGTCTTAGTCTTTTTTCTCAGACGGTGCAGGAGAAGCTTGTGTCATTGTCCATGATATTTTTTTGAGGAGAAAATATCGCCAGTCGATTTGTATGATACACTTTGTTGAATCTCTACGACGTAATTCATAAACGTAAAAAATATTATTCGTAACTCATCAAATGAGAATCTACGAATACCGAATGAAAACGAATGAAAAGAAGCCGTCGGTGCATTGTGAAGTGACACTCTTACCTATTTTGAATTGGAATTATTTCATGGCAATCTTAAAATACGAACAGCACTTACACCATATCACTTACATGAATAAATATTGTTTAATTCTATAAATAATGTCTCGCAATAATTTCCTCCATCATAAATGTCGCAGAGACGTCATCTAATTAAATTAGAAGGAAAAATTCGCTGGTCCAGTCCTCGAAACTCGCCTAAGTTCATTTTACGACGTCGAAGAGAAAATCCAGAGCCGACAAACCTAGTACATCAGCGCGATCCGCATCGCGGGAACTTTTTAAGGACTTCTCTCACGTTCCCGGATTCTTGATTTACAGATTTTCTGCCTCGCGAGGCCATCCTTCTTAGGTATTATGAGGACGTGATCAACATGATCAGCAGGTCTCGAACACTGGCCGCTGCAGGACGCACTTCTAAGACCTTGCCGTAGAGGGCCGCTTGACTTCTGTGTAATTTTGCCGTAAAGACGTTAAAAACGTCGCTGCGCACCATTGACTTAGTGACGTACAGCAACGACGTGACTGCAACCACCACAACAGTCGCGATACTGGCGCTTGGCTCTCTAAAAACCTAGATTTGACGAAAACAGTTCTAAGGTTGCTTATTCCACGTAGAGAAATACAATTGACATCTCAATGCGCCGATACGCTGTGTTGGCCATGATATCAATTCAGTTTTAGTAACTTATGTATTCCAACTTATAAAGTAACAAATACTTGCATTGCTTTTTAGCGTTATTAATGCTCGTCATGTCCGCCTGGCCGTCCGTCTGTCCGTGACTTCACGTTTTCGTCGACGAGAAAATGCGCTCTCTGTCACTCACTGTAGTGAGTACTGAGTTATATTTTTTCAATGTTTAGACTTTTCTAATTTTTAAGATAATCTACAAATTGACTATATTTGGCACTAATTCAATTTTCGAAAATTGTTCATTAGTTTCAACCTCTTGAATTCCGTTGTAGTTGATACTCGCTTCTGACAAATACATGCGAATGAAAAGTTCCTGCTACAATTTCTCCTCCTACAATAACCCTCTATTGGAACAGTTTTCAAAGTGGCCTCTATACATAAAATGAAGCATGAATAAGCTATCACGGAACTCATTACGATGATACGACGGTCTGAGAGCACCGTAATAATATAGAAGGAGCTCTTCATAAATGTTCAGCGCAATTTTACGAGGTTGGTAACCTCATTAACTTATGAGCCGAGGAAAATCTCAAGAGAAATCATTGGCTCAATTGCAAAGCCTCGCTCCTTGGTCCTTGAGATTTAGAGAAAACTCGGTCGTCATGGACGAGCTTTGCACTGTGGAGTGCCATCGCCGCAGCGCTTCTGAGTCGCTACACAAATGCTGCGTAATTCATCAGGAGAGCAATAAATTATTCAGATATTACTGTACTGCATGTATGCAATTGAATCACACGAACTAGGGAGCTCCAATTGCGTTACATTCTGACATACATGTCGCTCGTGGAGATTTATTTGTATATCGGCATAAGAAGATTCGTTTCAAAATATCTTAAACCTGGTTTATATCACCGTCATTCTCTTCATATTATTTTTACAATATTCTACCTGTCAATCGCTATTAGCGCATTTTCTCATTTATGGAATAAATGTACTATTGTGCTCGCCATGTCCGTCTGTCTGTCTGTCCGTCTGTCCGTCCGTCTGTCCGTGACCTTAAATTTTCGTCGACGAGAAAATGCGCTCTCTGTCACTTTCTGCAGTGAGTACTGAGTTATATTTTTTAACTTCGTGTTCATAGAAATAGGCCGGAGCTTGGAACACTCAAAATATTGACAATCAAGAAATAGTGAGTGGATAAAATTTCAATCATAAGGAATGACATGTAGTATCAAAATGTTATAACGAAAGAAACTATACATCTGACCTATTAATTCAAATGGATCAGCTCCTTTATTTACCAACAGCCAAATAGCAGCATAGCTTTAAGAACGATGTGTTCAGTAATATTATCCTTATATTGAACTTGTTGCCTGACTGTAGACAGTAAATTATAATATTATTTATTTAAATTGCTACCACTCATTGTCCCAGATGAACAGTATAAACGATGTAAGTAGCGGTGATGAATGATAAGTAATTTATTATCGTAAATATTTGAGTAATAGATTATCCATTCTAGAATTTGACAATTTCCTAGATGGGCTCATTTTAAAAGAGATTTTCATCAATAGACGATTTTTGAAAACGGTATTAAGTTTTTGCTGCACAAATTCCTTCGAAAATGTTGCGATTCATAAATCGTCTAGGCTATAAATCAGCTGCAGCTCTAAAACACAGTAAATGTTCTACTCATTCATATGCTTTGTAAATAATTATATTCTTCACGGGCCATCTCAGGACATATTTGTTTGCACGAAGCGTAGCCAGGGAAGTAGGGAGAAAAAGACAAGGACGGCTCGATCGTTTAGCCCCATATTACGGTGAATTGTAGGCCCCTGACGACCGTTCTGGTCGACGTTCGCTACCTGTAGAAAGCACAGCGCTTGCGAACAATCGTCGTTAGAGACCCGCCTCGGTCGTGCGCTTCGACGTTTGTCCGGCACTTGAGTCCGTTACCACTAAACTTCGACTACCCATTGCCCTTATACTCCACCAACTGCAAGGCCCAGCGAAAGAATAGCGAATGAAGTAGAAAGCTTTACAGGACGCGCTCACATCGACCGAAGAGTGCTTCAAGAATAGAACGCAATGCGTGATATCGAGGTCAGTGATGGAAATTTGTCTAATAATGAAATTAAATTACAATATTATGTTAAGTATTTTCATGCACACATACCACACATGAGACACAAATTTTCATACACACATGATATACAAATCTCATGTGATGTGTATGAATTTTTTTTT